AGGCAATTTTCTCAATATTTAGATTTTGCTTTTTGCACCGTCAGATTCCAGATTTTCAAATAGTTGTATCTCGGCCAAATATTGTCCTAACAAACCATACATCAATGGAAAGCTTATTTATTCAGCTTTCATATGATGTATAAATCTCAATTTCGGAAAAATGGACCCTTATGACTGGTTTTGTGATCCAGGGTCACATATTATATTCAAAAAAATATATTTGATAATAATATAAAATAATTTTACTAGTTTACATTTAAACTAATTAATTCAGGTTAATTAGGTTACTTTGGACATTGATATTACTGAGAATATGACCAAATGTATCTTTTAAAATGTATAATTAACCACAAAACCAGAATTAGACATCACAAGTTGTTTTATAAGAAAAACCAGCTCTTCAGTAGAGTGGAATGGTCGGAGGGTGCGTGCTGGGGGTAAGGTCCGGGTTACTGTGTGGAACGAGACATGATCAGCGGCAGCTGAATCTCACACACACACCATACCTTCCCTGCCCTTTTCGCCCAAAAAGTTTCCAAGCGTTCCGCTCTGTGCCCCAGACTGTGATGGAGGGAGGCTGAGGGTGGAGGAGGGTCACACATCCAAATGGCTGCCAAAGCACAGTTTGGGTCAACCTACTGCTCATAGTTAACCTAAAACCTCTTGCTTCATTCCACTCACACTGAAACCACCACGAACCGACTTAAACTGGATTCAGCTTGCTTTTGAAATCGGCAGATTTTTAGAAATCACTTTTTTTCTGATGCGATGGCCAAATTAAAAATGTTCATTTTTACCAGACAGTTTCTAATTCTGAAAGTGACTTACAGTCCTAAAAATAAATGTTCCAAAACAGGGGGTTTGAATCCATAAGAACCTCATAAAAGGACTGTTCTTTTTCTTAGTGTGAAGAACATTTTTAAAATCTAAAGAACCTTATTCCACAATGAAGAACCTTCTGTGCAATGGAAAGGTTCCATGAATGTTAAAGGTTCAATGCCAGTAAAAAAGCTTTCTTTTTAAAAGTATACAATAAAACACACAAATCACGGAAGTACCAACACTCAGCCTACAACTAAGTATACAAAAGAAATATTCCTTTATATTCTGCTATTCCTTTACCACATCATTTCATTAACAAATTTCAAATCTATATTCAAATATCAGCCTCTTCATAGGAATTGTTAGGAGTGCAATTAGTAGAGAAACTTTGTTGTTCGTCTCTCTTTCTCCACTATTCTTTCTCCAAACTTTCAGAATTACTCATCATTGAATGGATGTCTTTAAGATCATGTGTTCCTGTGATGGTGAATGTCAGTTATGGAGTGAGTCTCAGGCACCTGGCAGTAGTCAGGCTGTAAATGAGTATTTGCATGCACCGTTACTGCCCTTCCAACTGCTCCACAACCCTCCATAACACACATATTCAAACTGTCCCCGCTATATATAGCAGTTCTGTGCTTTTTTATCTAAATGTTTTGCTATTTAGTACAAATATTGCAAATGGTAAAGAGATGCATCATGTTTTTTCCTTCTCTGTTCATTCTACTGAAAAATCATCTTAAATCGTTTAAAGGGGTTTTTCAACTTTAGTTAGTCTGTAATGTTGCTGTTTGAGCATAAAAAAGATCTGCAAAGTTACAAAGCTCAAAGTCCACTTCAAAAGGAGATATTTTATTTAACTGAAATCACTTTTCAAAAACTACAACGAACGACTCGTTTGGACTACAACGCATATTTTCCGGGATTTGTGATATCACAAATATCGACGAATGGGACGAGACCTGGTTGAGCTGCACTAGAGAAGGCAACGAGTGTTATCACTATGTCAGAGACGCACTAGCTTTCCCAAGGCAGACGAACTTTTCGTATTTCAGAAGGCGGGCTTTCATTTGATACAGGAACTATTCTAGCCGTTCATGGCAGACTGGGGAGAGAGGTGTTGTAATAATCTAAAATATGTGAAAAATAATGTTTTTCGAACAACCGAGTATGAGAGCCTGTTCTAGTACACCCCCAAAACAAAATCAAGACTTTGTAAAAGAGCATAATAAGACCCCTTTAAGAGAAAATTTACCAAGTGAAAAGTGTCCAAAACCGCTCTAAATCCAGCTAACTGACCAGGGGTGCGTTTCCCGTACAACTACGTAACTCGCTGATTAACCACCATAGTACGATGCATCGTTGTGGAAACGAACTAGCTAGTCACGACTGTTTCCCGAAACCATGGTACCTGTGTCGCAGATCCATCGTTTAAACCACGTTGATTTCAGCTGTCGTTATGACGTTGTTCTTCTTCTTCTTCGATCTAATAGCCGACTGGTGCCATGAGCATATACCGCCACCTACAGTAATTTGGAGTATTACAGTAATACAGTACCATTTCTTATTTAATACTGATAGGCTACTTAAGCACAATTGAAAAAAGATGGGTTTTTAAAAAACTGTGATGTACTCTTGTGGACACCTGTTGCTTATTTTGCTCAATAATTTTTCCTATTTAAGTCCCCTTGCCATTCAGCCATGTGTTAATGAAAATGACACGAAAACCCCAATTTTCAAAGCATGAAATTGCAGTTCTTTTGGAGGAGGTGGAAAATAATAAAATCCAGCTATTTTCAAAGCTGAAAAACAGCATTACAAATGCTGACAAAAAGAAAATCTGGGCAGAAATCACTCAAAAAATAAATGGGCTATCCAGCACCAGGGGATGTTCACTGACATTGTGGCAAAATGGCCTGGAAGCACACATGACTCTTTTGTGTGGGCCAATTCTGCAGTTTGCCAGGTGGCTAAAGAGGGTGGCTTTGGTGATAGCTGGCAGCTGGGAAACAGTGGATATCCTCTTCGCCCATACCTCCTGACACCTGTGCTGCATCCAGCTACCATTGCAGTGTAAACCAATTGTTTAATCTGACATAACTTCTGTTACATATTTTGTTTATTTGCCAATATGCCCCGCAGACTTAAATGAATACTTACAAAAATTAAAAATAATTTTGCAAACAGTGTATATACTGTGTGTGTGTATGTGTGTGTGTGTGTGTGTGTATATATATATATATATATATACACACACACACACACACAC